GTGTGTGTGTGTGTGTGTGTGTTGGCAAAATATCTCATAAACCACTGGACAGATTTTTTTCAGGACATTTTTGAACAAACCTCTACAACTGATTGCAGCCAACTTGACGGCAAGATGGCCATCTAACTGACCTTAAAACACACAAATGGCAACAACTCAGTCAAACGCATGACATCCTGCTCAAACAGAGGGTGGTGGTAGCTGAGAGTCTGTGCTTAAAGATTTACCGTAAATTGTTATTCAACTCMTTTTGTCTTTTTCTGGTAAAACGAGACACAATCAGGAATGTTTACACAAAGGGGACAACTTGGTCCAACCAAACAAASCTCCTGTTGTGTTAAAGATAATAGTTTGATTAATACTGTCAGTATTCAAATCACCCATTCATTCAAATCAGTTGTGTCCACCTGATTTAAAWGAATGAATGGATTATCAGGCCTCTGCAGAACTTGAGGTCATTCAGTGACTGAACCGGGTGTGTTGGAGCAGGGGAACAAGTCTGTGGCCCTCGAGGACCAGGACTGCCCGCCCCTGATTGAGAACACACATAAACCTAACAGAGATTACATTTAGAAAGACACGTCTTCTTTGGATGTACTTACTATTTCACAAGCTTTTGATTTATCATTTCTTGGAGATACATTTGATCACAACCCAGCAAATCAGTTAAACAATCAAAACTCTTACTAAAAATCCAATTATTTGATTTTAAAATAAGAAAAGAACACAGGAAAAATGAATAAAGTTGATTCCCTGTTGCTATTTCCAGAACAAATTCAAAAATTATTGTATATGTAACTTTGTTTTCTTGAACTAAAAGCTGTCCGGCTGTTGTGAGAATAATACACTAAATACAGAGACAACAAGAGAAACCATAAAACTATTTTACACTTAAAGTATTACCTTTGGAGCTGGATAAAATGTTAATGAGGGCCAGATTTGGCCAGTTTCAGCTGAAATTTAGGTAAATAAGTCCTTTTCTGCCTAAAATGACTATTTTAAATGTGTGTTAAATATTAATTAGAGAGTTTTAGAAGTATGTGAAGATAATTACAGATAATCTGAATAAAATGTGAGTTTGATGACTATTATTTGAACTTTTTAACCCTCTGCAGCTTGGCTCTGATTTAAGGTGAGCCATGTTTGTTTACTTCTCTGAAGGATGAAGGCTGCTGTGAGAACAGCTGGCCTGCTCCAGCCAGGTGGTGCAGGGGGGGGGGGGGGGGGAACTGATTTACCTGAAAATCAAACCAAACACGAAAAAAAAAGCGTGTTTTCTACATTAAAACCAGCGGGAGTTAAACAGGAGGGGAAACACGACAGCTGACATCAACCAGCTGAGGSTTCATTTATTACCTGTCCTCCTCCACGGCTAACATGTCACCTCATATCGGCTAAAAGGCACCTCTCCGGCTTCATAAATCCTCTCATTTCCTTATGACAAAAAAATGAAAACGTTTTTTTACCTTCCACATCCAGGCCATTCTTCTGTTTTTACGCAGACACAATGGTGGACCGCTTGTTTTCCTCAGACCCGCAGCTCGTCTTCCGCTAGCCGCTTCTGCTAACACCGTCTCTCACGTCTCCATCACGGGGAGAAGAAGTCACGGACACGGGGGGTTCGGCCTCCATACATGGACGTCGGAGCGAACCTTTATTCGTCTTTGGTCCCTCGAGCTTCTCCTGTTTTCCTCCGCATCATGAATCTGCTGGGACCCGGGCCGACACTGCGCTCCGATTGGTCGAGCGGGAGGAAGGTCCCGCCCCCTCACTGCTGTGTCACGTGACACCTTGTTCAACATCATCAACAGAAGAAGTGAGATGCTGCTGTGATATTTACAATGAAAAATTCTTTAATTAAAAGTTCCTCAGAGGCCTGATTATTAGCAAACAAATCTGAAGAGACATTAAGTTTGAATAATTAAATTCAATTAAACTGGATTTTACACAACATTTTCAAACAGCTTAAAGTGCTCAAAATAAACATAAAAACAAATACTAAAATAAGACAATTTCAAACTGATTAAATAAGATATATAAAAGTGCATAAGTTTAAAATGCATATACAGCGGGTAAAATAAGTATTGAACACGTCACCATTTTTCTCAGTAAATATATTACTAGAGGTACTAATGACATGAAATTTTCACCAGATGTCGGTAACAACCCAAGAGATCCATACATACAAAGAAATCAAACCATAAATGTCCAGAAATGAAGTTTTTTGTAATAATGTGGAATGGCACAGGGAAAAAGT